AATAGCATACCATTGTTAGTCATTTAGTCCATCTAAGTGGACTTGATTAGTTTCTCAAAATGTGGCCCAAGGAATACCCACTTTAGAATCACCTAAGGCACTCTTCAGACATGCCCCTATAACAGACCAAATGAATATTAATATCCAGGGATGAGATCCAGGAATCTGCATTTTTATCAAATTGTCTAAGTGATTCTCATGTACACTAACTTTCAGTACCTCTGATCTAGTTCAATTTTTTATTTTATAAGACTCCTCTTTCAGAGGCAAAGATCTTATTTTGATTCCAATACTCTCTATCACACAAGCTGCCTTTTGTGCTCAAAGCAATCTGTAGCAAGTGGTAAATCTACAATATGTCAAACAATATTTAAGAATCAGTGACTTCTAAAAATAAAATATAAATTATTTATATATGATCTGACACCTACCTGACTCTTCTATCAATTTCTGCCACACTCATCATGCTCCAATAAGTTTACTCCCATCTCAGGATGTTTTGCATTTGTTGATCCTTCTTGGAATACTCAGATATTTACATGAGTGGACCCTCTTGGTTACTCAAGTCTCAGCTCAAATGTCTGCTCCTTGAGGAGGTATTCCCAATCTAAAGTAATTTTTACTCCAACTCAGTCACCTTCTATTGTATTTGTCGGTATGTAAAATAATCTTGTTTATTTGCTCTCTTAGTGAAAAAATTTACACTTAAGCTCCACAAGACCAGAAACTGAGTCTGCTTTGTTAATTGTCTCACACCCAACGTATAAAGCAATGCCAGGCAGTGGTGCACTATGGGCAGGGGTAGAAGGAAGCAGACTTGAGTGCAGACCATAAGGGGATAGATTATCTGTAAAGAATTTAAAAACAATAATAAAATGAAATAAAGTAATTCTGCTTTTTATCATTACTATACATTGGCATTTATAAGCAAATGTCAACAATAAAGCACTCGTTCTTCCTTCAGAAATTTTAAAAGTTTGGTCTAAGTTCCAAACAAATGTTGCTGTTACTGCTGAGTTTTAATAATATATATTTACCTTCAAATTAGCACATCTTTATGGCATCCCTTAATAGACATTGTTGTTTTCTCTATGAAAGTTAATTTGGGGAATTCCCAGTTATATAGTTGTCTCCAACTATGTGTTGGCAGGGCCACAAGCATTTTTTTAGAATGTAACTTCACAAAATTTCCAAATTCATTGGAGTTTACCTTTGGTGCAGTTTGTGTCTCTATCCCCTGTGGAAATACATATTCCTGCATTTAAACAGTAGATTCTGAATAAACAATGATAGCACAGTAATTGTAAAAGACAGAGAAACAGAATCTGGGTTACTTCAATTTTACCATCTTATTTAACTACTTGGAGATTGATGTGTGAGTCAGGGGAATGGGAGAGGAAAATCCACCCTCAATGTGGCCAGGCACCACCCAATCCAGGAACGAAAAGCAGTTAGAAGAAGGGAGACAAGTAGCTTGCTGAGTTTCCCTTCCAGACTCTCTCTCTTCCTTTCCTGGCTGGATGCTGTGCTTCCTCTCTTCCTTCCCTTTGGACATCATACGCCAGATTTTTCCACCTTTGTACTCTGGGACTTCACCACCAGCTTCCCAGGGGTCATGAGCCTTTAACCTCAGACAGAAGGCGGAAGTGTTGGCTATCCTGGTTTTGAGGATTTTGGACTTTTACTGAGCCACGTTACTAGTTTTCTCATTGTTCAGCTTGCAGACTGCCTATTGTGGGACTTTGCTCCCTACCCTAGCAGTTTTCCTCAACTAACAATCCCACTGCCCCCCCGACTGTTTCCCACTACTGCCAATCCCTTTTTTATAGTATTATAATGGTTCAAGATCCACTTATGAGCGAGAACATGTGGTACTCTGTTCTTTGTTTTTGTGATAGATCACTGAGTATGACTGACTCTAAATCCATTCATGTTGTGGTGAAGTCCATATGCTTGTCCTTCTTTATGGCTGCATAATATTTCATTGTGTATATGTACCACATTTTTAAAATCCAGTACAGCTTTGATGGACAACATGGTTAGTTCCATGTTTTTGTTATTGTGAATAGAGCTGCAACAAACATACATGTGCAGGGTATCTTTTTTGTAGAATGATTTGTGTTCCTCTGGGTATATTCCCAATAGGAGAATTGTTAGGTCATATGGAAGGTCAATTTCCAGTTCTTTCAGTAATCGCCACACTGTCTTCCAAAGAGGTTGCACTAGTTTGCATTCCCATCTTCTCATGGGCAGGTTTTAGACATCCTGTTTGCAGGCTGAATAGCCCTGCAGGCTGAACGTGAATTCAACGTGGACTCCCAGGGTACCCCATCCCCTCAGCTTGCCAAAACAAAAACCAAAAACTCAAGGTGATTTCTGTGCCCAGAATCAAAAGACCACAGAAATGATAATAAGACCACCCCTCCAGCCATCAGAGGCTGAGGGATGTCAGTCCTTAGCAATGATTAGCCAGGCTCCACCCTCTCAGCATATCAATGACTGTGAAGGTATATAAGATACAGTTTTCTTTCGCCTATGCCAGTTCTAGTATGTCTTTCTATTGTTCCCCTCTTCTATCGCTAATAAACTTTGTTTTGAAACCTTGCTGGCCACTCTAAAATTCATTTTATGGTTGAGCCAAAGAATCCACGAGTTATGCGCTGCTCCCCAGCTGGTATCAGCTCTGTCCCTCTGGAGAACCTTGACTAATAGAATAAGGAAATGGACATTTAGAGTTTTTAAAAAATCAAATTTTAAAGAACATAGCAGGATAAATGAGGAAAGATGCTTGTCTGATGTTGTGAGAAACCAAAATAACAGTATTTGAATGTCTTGATTGTTTGCAACAAGCACTGGACACTTATTCCAAAGCAATGGATCAGATGTCAGCGATCCCTTTCATTCAGATATTTGCAGTGATTTTTAAAGTAGAAGAAAAACTTCTGAAATTTTTACCAAATTTGATATAAATTTATGATTAATTTTCTGAAAATATTTCAGTCAAAAAGTTCAGCTGAAAAATTTAAATGCCTCGGGTTTTCATTCTGAAGAAACAAACACATGGGTGGTATGAAAATTCCTGACATTTGGGGGAAATAGGATTGTTATGAATCTAGTCTATGGTTATTCACATTTTTAAGACTTTTCTTATTTATATATCTGTTGCTTAATGTGAAAAAAAACTTTACTGATATTAAAATTAATAAAAAGTGTGCATCAACCGACTATGAACAAAGATTGACAAATCTAGCTATACCATCTATCGAATATGCAAAAATATTAAACTCTGATGACCTCAAGGCCCACAAACAGAAACTGTAATATTATATTCATTAATATGGTAGACCAATATATATGTATGTTTTTTTCCTTTAAAAATGCATTACTAGCCGGGCTCGGTGGCTCAGCCTATAATCCCGCGCCTTTGGGAGGCTGAGGTGAGTGGATTGCCTGAGCCCGCGGGTTTGAGACTTGCCTGGGCAGCGAGACCTCATCTCTACAAAAAATCAAAAAAATCAGCCGGGAGTGGTAGTGCATGCCTGTAATTCCGGCTACTTGGAAGGCTGAGACGGAAGGATCGCCGGAGCCCAGCAGGTCGAGGCTGCGGTGGCCGGTAGCGGCCACTGCACTCCAGTCTGGGCGACAGAGTGAGACTCCAACTCAAAAAAAAAAAAATGCATTACTACAATTAAACACTTTGGCCATTTTTTTTTCTTTTTGGTGCTATACTATGAATTTTGTTTATTTTTATGTTGGCATTTTTAATATATGTATTTATGTACATATATCTACATGAAGTTCAAGAAAAGAAAATTTTCACTGTGTGTTTCTTTTGTGGCAGTTATTATTATTTTCACTATTAAAAAAATAATTTTGTTATTTAGAAGAGTGGTCTATTACAAAAGGATCTACTTAGAGTATCAAAGTGTTAGGTCTGCAACTAATGCATGGTATGTAGTTTACACTTAATAACTATTTGTTGAGTGAATGAATGAATAAATAAATAATATTGGGACTGTTAATACACTCATCATGAGCATCTTCTTCCTCAGTATCATTCATGGGAAGTCTAAGGAACACCTTGCTAATGAGAATGTTGCACCTACCCATTGTATATTCTCCATACAGCACCAAAGTCATTATTTTAAAATGTAACTTACATCATGCCTCGCCTTTTCTCCTCCAGTGATTTCCCATCTTATTCAGAACAAAATACAGATTCCATATAGTGGCACAAAAGTCCCTATACTACGTGTTTTTTCACTACCTCTGAACTTATCAGGCTAGTCATACTGGCCGTTTTCATTGCTGTTCCTTCTGCAACAAACACTTCCCTAAATTCCTTTAGGACTTTTCTCAAATTACCTTATCAAAGAATCTTTCCCTAATATATATAAACCAATACACTTCCACTCCATTCCCATGCTGTTTTATCTTCCTTCATAGCAGTTGGCACTTTTTGTAATATTTATTTGTCTCTCTTTTTCTCCTGGAGCCATAAGTTCTATGAGGGAAGCCACTATATTTTGTCTATATCCTGAAAAACTGCCTGGCATAGAGTAGGCACTAAGTGACATAATTTTAGAATGAATGAAGTTGTCCATGTATAGTAGAGGTAACACGTTCTTTTTCTGACCATATAGTTATGAAGGCAGTTGCACTTGGTTTTAATACCTTGTCGAGACAAATCACATATGCCTAAAACAAACAAAATAATTAACAGTTCTGCACCCAGGAGAATAACTTTCAACTGGACTATAGAGAATATTCTGAAAGACTATCTGCCACAGGGAAGGTCAACCACAATTAGGAATCACTTCTGCAAAGGCAGCTGATAAAGCTAATGTAGCAGCTGCCAAAGCGGCCGCAGGAGGGCGGAGAAAGGGCAGTAGTGGGCGGGCAACCGTAACGGGGTGTGGCTGTCGCGAGCGAAGCCTGGTTGAACTGCTTTGTCCCTCTCCACACCCCGTCTGAAATCTTGGGCCGCCAAGGTCACAGACATGGCGGCCGTTAGGGTAAGTGAAAACAAACTTGTTTAGCCTCTTTGGATGCCGATAGCATTCGATAACTATCAAAAGGGTCCTCCTAATTTCTGAAGGGAACCCCGCAGCAAGGGATGGGATTGAGGTGGGCTTGTAAGGGAATCGTTAACATTTGAAGCCTCAAGCTATCTGCCTCTTCCCTTTAGCGTTTCTTCAACCTGCTCTCTCCTCAGTCCCCTGCGGTTGTCGGTTTATACCGCGGCACAGTACAAACTCGGAAACGCCTGAGTGAAGATGGCCGGCCAGGCACAAGCAGCAGTAGACGTTTGGGTCTTGAGCTACAACAGAGAGAAAAAAAACAAAAAACAAAAAACCCTTGGCACTTGCCTTGGTGCACAGGGCGGGGCCTCATAACCCCATCGAAGGACTTTGTTCAAATATTAATTGGTCTGGAACAGATCAGGATAGAGACGTCCCGTAGTCCTCTCTGCAGTGCTTGGATTTATACGTAGTGTTGTTACTCTCTGGGGTCGAATAACAAGTTTCTTTTGAGTTCTGTGATGGGAGAAGTCGCCTTTACTTGGGAATCCGTGTACAGGAAACGACTAAATTGGCTGTTTGCTGCAGTTCCCTCAGTAGGTTTTAATAACAGATACTTATCTAATAAGTACAATTGTAAAGTGTTCTGCTAGGCTTGCAGGAGAAACAATATGAATAACTCAGTTCAGCCGAAGTTTATTTTAGGTTGAGAGTATCTGTCTTGATTCACCATTCTCTCTTCATTTCTGCAGTTCTGATTCTCATTTTTTATCTGAATTATAACAATATCCTGGGTTCGCTACCGCTGGCCTAGCTCTCATGTAACACATTTCCCCCCTGTGGTGCCAGAGAACGATCTGATTCTGCCTCTTTCCTACTAAAAATCCTTTATGGGCACTCCATCATTTCCCCTTGGGGGTCAGGCCATACTATGTCCATAGCATCTGATCCTTCCCTGACTTTCTATCTTCATTCCCTGTCACTGAGGAATCTTCCTCCCATCAATACTGAATTACTTGCTTCACCCTCCATGCTGTTTTTTTCTGGGCCTAAAGTGCCTTTTCCCATTTTCATCTAGTTACTTCCTACTCATAATTCATTCGTTTATTTAACAGACATTTATGTATAGCCTCCCTGTAGGCAAAACAGAAAGTGCCTTTTCACAAAGTGCCCCAATCTTCCCAGTCTATTTTAAATAACTCCTGTTTGTGCTCCCAGAAGAATCTGGCATACTCTTAACCATACTCTTAACCATAGCATGTATTACGCTGCAATTAAATATACTGTTTGTCTATCTTACCTTCCCAAACTGGAAGCGCCTTAAGGACAGTAATTATATTAATCTTTGTATCCTCAGTGCCTAGCACAGTTGTGACTTACATTAGGTAGTCAATAAGTTCTACATGAATAAATAAGGGCCAGACAATGCGGATAAAAGAGATTAAGTAGTGGAGATGCAGGTACAACACAAATAACTGTGATTCAGAGTAAGGTAAGTCACTTCCCCCAAGAGAAGTTCAAAGTGCTCTGAGGAAAGAGAGCTCACACCTGGTTTGAAGAGACTAAAGAAGGATTTCTTGGAAACAGTTTCAAATGATCGCGAGGTAAAGTAACTGCTCTAGAAATGGCTAAGAATTGTGAAGATCTTGGAACTTAAGAAGTTTAGGGAAGCATCTTTGAGGCCAAGGAACCAAAAAGGTGATCTATGTTAATTTTGAAGCCCCAGAGACTAATAACAAAGAGTAGATTAGAAAGGAGTCTTGAAGGATGGTAGATAACTGTGAAAATAGTTAACAAACATCTTGAAATATAAGAGCTTGTTCAACACATGTGATAGTGGAACACTAATGTGGAATTAGTCTTGAGGAACAAGGACTGTGCTGATCTCTCCTCTTGGTTTCTTGAATCTTGAGGGATTGCTGGAGGATTGACCTTCATTTAAAATGATTGAGAGGACCGTAGCAGTGTCAAACAAAACACCAGTTTCATTAATGCCAGAACTTGAGAGTGAATTTGGGGAAAACTTAGATTCTGAAAGATAATTTGTTTATAATAGAATACTTAGTATCAAAATCTGGCTGCAATTTGTTGAGGACTTCTTGTGTGTCAGACACTGTGCTAAGCTGTTGATGCACATTATTTCATTTAATTCCCACCTTAGCACCAGGCTGACCCTTGTAGCCCTACTCTGTAGGCTGGCATCTGCAGATTTAGGCTTCAAACCTGCACAGTGCCAGTCGAGCCTCTCAGCCTATTCTGATGTTAGATAGGATCCCACAGCCCCAGATTCCAGGCCTTCGAGGATCAAGTCTCCAGACCTCCCCAGCACCAGGCCAACACCAGCAGCCCTTGGCCATAGCACCAGACAGGCCCTAGCATACATTGTATACATGTATCAAAATATCATTCCAGGGCCAGGCCAGCCCTAGTGACCCCAGGCTCAGGACCACCCCCAGCAACAGGTAGGTCTTCATGGCCCCAGGCTTCAGGCCAGCCCCGGAACATACAGGATCTAAGTCTACTCAGCACCAAGCTAGTCCTTGCAGCTCCTGGCTTCAGGCCCACCCCTTTGCCAGTTTGGCACCCCTAGCCTCAGACACCAGACAGGCACTCACAAATACAGACTCCAGGTTTGCCCAGTGCCAGGCCAGTCTCCAAAGCTCCATGTTCCAGGCTGGCCACCCCATGCTCCAGCAGACCCAGGTTCCAGACCTGTTCCAGTAAATACCAACACTGGATCAACCCCCACAGACTCAGACTTCAGGACCACCCCAGTGTACCCAGATACAAGGCTGATCCCAGAACCCAGGCCAGCCCTCTTGGACTTAACCTCTAGTCAAGCACCTATATACCCAGCCTCCAGCCAACACTAGCAGACAGAGGCTCCAGGTCTTTCTCCACAGCCCCAGATTCCTGGCCATTTCCAGTGGCTCCAGGCCCCAGGTCAGTGCCATAATTCTAGGCTCCAGACTAGTCCCTGTGAAACCAGGCTCTATGCGGGCCCCAGCACTAGGCTGGTCCAAGGCTCCGGAGGATCCAGAGTTCAGGCCTGCTGCATCAGACCTAGGGTCCATTCCCAACCTTGTAGACCCTAGGCCTGGGACAGACCCTGTGGACGCAGGCTTCAGGCTCATCCCAGTGGCTGGTCCCAGGTGCCAGGCCCCTCTGAACACCAGGCCAATTCCTGTGAACTCAGGTTCCAGGTCTCCAATAAAAAAAACCTAATGATATACCTCAGGAAGTTAGAAAAAGAGAGCAAACTAAGCCAAAAGTTAGCAGAAAGAAGGAAATAATAAAGATCAGTGCAGAAATAAATGGAATAGAGACCAGAAAAACAATAGAAAAGATTAATGAAAGCAAGGGTTGCTTTTTTTAAAAGGTAAAAATTGACAAGTTTTTAGCTAGACTAATAACAAAGGAGAGAAGACTCAATCAGAAATTAAAGAGGAGATATTGTAACTGATGCTACAGAAACACAAAGGATCATATGAGATTGCTGTGAACAATTACATGTCAACAAATTTGATAAAGTAGAAGAAATGGGTATATTCCTAGATACAAAGGGTAAAGGATCTGAATAGACATTTCTCAAAAGAAGACATACAAATGGGCAAGTATATGAAAAAATACTCAACATCACTAATCACCAGGGAAATGCAAATCAAAACCATAATGCAATATTATCTCACCTTAGTCAGAATGGCTATCTTAAAAAAAAATAAATACTGGCGAGGATGCAGAGAAAAGGGAACTTTTATACTCTGTTTTGGGGAATGTAAATTAGTATAGCCACTGTAGAAAACAGTATGGGTTTTGTTTTTTTTTTTAATCTACAAGGAGAGCTACCTTGTGATCTAGCAATCCCACTACTGGGTATACTAGAGGTACCATAAAAATGTATATGCATTTTTAAGAGATGTTATCTATATATTACTTTTAGTTCACCATAATCAGAAATGTCTGGATGCTGATGGTAACCACTTTGAGCACCTCTTATAATTGCAGAAGTCAAACATAACTTGTATTCATCTTTTGTTATCAGTATATATTGAGTATTACAATTTTAATAGTTTTTTTCTTTCTTAAAATGTGTATACATTTTTTAGCACTCTCTGTGTATCAAAATGAAATCAGTATTTTGAAGAGATAACTGCACCCCTATGATTATTGCAGCTTTATTCACAATAGCAAAGATATGGAATTAACCTAAGTGTCCATCAATGATGAATTGATAAAGAAAATACATTATATATACAAATGAAATATTTTCAGTCATAAAAGAGAATAAATCCTGTCATCTGTGTCAGCATGGATGGGTCTGGAGGACATTATTATTATTATTTTATTTTTTATCTATTTGAAGAATAAGTGGGAGAGAAGAGAAATGGTTTTGGCCCTTAGATATGTAGATTATTTTCAAAACAGTTTGACACTCAACTAGTCAGTTGTATCAAAATCAGTTTTCCCTGAAGTAGGCATTGTTCCCAGCTACAGGCAATCCTCACTTTGCATGGTAGTGTAGGACCATAAAAATAGCTATACAAAGCAATTTCAATAATCAGTGGGGAAAATTAGTTTCATGATTTTTAAAAATCTGTCAAAATATTAAAATTTTTACTATCAGTTGTAAATGTAGAAGAAAATGCAAAGAGGTCTATAATATTTAGTACATTGTAATTTAAAGCAGAAACATTGAGAATTAAGCATCCGCACTTCTAATGATTATCTGTGTACGTTTTAGACAAAGCTTCCAATCAGGTACAAGCAGTCTTCCAAATTAGCACTCAGAAGAGTGGCATCATCTATGTCGATTCCATGCAAATTTTTTGACTAGTTGTGTGTGTGTGTGTGTGTGTGTGTGTGTGTGTGTGTGTGTGTGTGTGTTAAGTGGGCCACAAATCCTCAAATTTGTAAATGTAAATTTTTACATGATGAAAGCAATTTGAGTTGTACCAGAAAGTGTCCCTCTAGTTTTGAGTTGAAGTAAGAACATATCATTTGATGACCAATCTTGCAAAGTCTTGAAACCTGTCTAATGAGTATAGTAGGTTCCGTGACACTCATTTGTGGTATGAAGTTGAATTTCCAGCTGAACATGGGTCCATCATTCTTGATTCTAGCAAATTTTCCATGTTTTATTTTGTCTAGAGGTCTGCATCATTAACTGATCACCCTTTGCTTGACCTCTCCTTCCCATGGATTCAGGGAGGACTAGTGTCCACACAGCCAGACTTGGCTGCCTACTTTCCAGCTTGTCCCCATGCTACCACTGAGAGAACACAGTACTGCCCTAAAGAGAAATTCTGAAGGACATTGTTCTAAGTGAAATATGAGAGGGGACCCCCCCCCGCCAAAACCAGAATTTATTTATAAAAAATTGTGTATTTATTCTTACATGATTAAATTTCAGTCACCTTCAAAGTACTCTCTGTTTGATGCAATATACCTACCAACATGCTTTTTCCACAACTCAAAACAGTTTTTGAACTCCTCAGTTTTGATGTCTTTTAGTTTTGCTGTTTTTTGTTTTACCTTTCCCACATCCGTTTTTGTTTTATCTCTTCCACATCAGCAAGACGTTTCCCTTTGAGGATTTTTTTGATCTGGGCGGAAAAAAGTTGCTGGGGTAACATTGGATGAATAGGGAGGGTGGGACATAGGGGTCATGCCGTTTGTGATCAAAATTTGCTAAACACTTAGTGTGATGCCAGGTGAGTTGTCATGGTGGCAAAACCAGTTGCCTGTTTGCCACAACTTGGGATGTTTCTTCCACAAATCCTGATGCAACCTTCTCAAAACTTCCAGATAAAAACTTTGGTTGATCGTTTGATCCAGAGGAACAAATTCCAAGCATGCTACAAGGGGCCTGCTCTTCAAAAGATAATTCTGTTTTTTGGGGAGAGGTCTCCCCTTGTAACTCAAGCACAGACAAATACTGCATGTTCTTACCTGTATGTGGGAGCTAAAAAATAATTGAGTTTAAAAAAGTGGAGAGTAGAATTGTGTTTTTTATAAGCTGGGAATGGTGGGGGGAAGGAGTGGATAGGGAGAGATTTATTAATGAATACAAAGTTATAGCTAGATGAGAAGAATAAATTCTAGTATTCTGTAGCATCATAGGGTAAATATGGTTAACAGTGATTCAGTATATAATTTCAGACAGCTGGAAGAGAATTTTGAATGTTTACACCACAAATGATAAGTGTTCGAGGTGGTTGATATGCTAATTATTTTGATTTAATCATTATACATTGTATACATGTATCAAGATATTACTCTATCCCATAAATATGTACAATTATTACATGTCAACTAAAAGTAAAATACAAAATAAATAAAATATTAAAAGAAAAAAATACTGGACTCAGGACCCAGGGGTTGGTGTGTGGGCAATTGCAAGCTTCTTACTGTAGAAGGCAAAGCACTGTGGTGTCTGTATCTCATTGTGAGTTGTTTCCTGTTGGCAGGACTCAATGTCGAAACAATTTCTGTCTTGGAGAGGTCACATATCCCTATTCTCTAGGGTGAAAGCAGTAGCCAGGTGGGTAGTGGCAGTGGGAGGCTGGTAGCAGTGGGCAGCAGCAATTCCAAGTAACTTCCATTACCCAGGCTTAGCCTTGGTAAAGAATTTGGAGGTTCTTGGGATGGAGGCTGCAGATGTGTATGCCAGAAATGAAACTCACTGCAATTCTCCTTTTTTTGAGGAGGAGGGAATCACTCAGAGGGGACCACACTGGGCTCCAAGCTACTTTGCCGTGGAGAATGGCTGTGACACCAGTAAAGTAAGGCTTTCTATGCCTCTGTATGTGGTACCATCTCCCCATTTGTCCCAGAGGATTTCTACTGCTTCTAAATTGTTTTCCTAGAGCTATTTTTGCTGGCTTTTATAGTTGTTTATTTATTGCTTTTCTTCCTGTTTTTTGGGTGGGGAGGATGAGTACTGGTATCCTTAGTTCTTAGTACACCTTGTTGTTGCTTTGGGATTATGTATTGCGTGGTTCATTGACACAGCCATTAAATTCATAGAGTTTTGGCAAGACTTAAGATACAGAATACTGATAACCAGGATTTTAAATCATCAATGTGATTCAAAATTACCAGAAGGCTGGTAGACGATAGTGTTAAGGATGGATAGATTATTTGAGCCTTAAAGGAGCAGAATTACTTTTCTTTCTTTTAGAATTTTAAAAATTGAACTACATCATGCATACATAAAATCCTAAACATCTTGATACATTTTCACGAAGTAAGCACCCAAATTAAAAAAAAAAAATTACCAACAACCCAGAACCCCTTCTCCCTTGTTATCCCCACATATTGACCACTCACCATATATTAATTTTGCCTATTTTCCAGTTTCATATAAATGGAATGATGCAGTATTTGCTATGTTGTTTCTGGTTTCTTTCACAGAATATTGTGTTTGTGAGATTCAGTCATTGTGCATGTAACAGAAGTTCATTCATTCTTATTGCAGCATAATACTCCAGTGTGTGACTATATCACAATTTATTTACACATTCTACTGTTGATGTAATTTATTTTTTCTTATTTAGTTTTTTAAATTTGTAACTGGTAAATAATTGTATATATTTATTTGATATATGTATATATTATAGGAATTATAAAATTGAGCTAATTAACATGCATTATCTCACATATTTATCATTTTTGTAATGAGAACACTTATAATGCACTCAGCAATTTTCAAGAATATAATACATTGTTACTTACTATAGTGATCATGTAATACAATAGACCTCTTGAATATTCTATCTAACTGAATTTTTTTTTACCAACATCTCAACATTCAGCATCTCTCCCCCAGCCCCTAATAACCACCATTCTATTTGCTACTTCTGAGTTTTACTTTTTTGAGTTTCTACATATAAATGAAATAATGTCTTTCTCTGCAATCTCTTATGAATGAGATCATCTCTTATATAGAATTTGTCTTTCTGCAGCTGGCATATTTCATTTAGTGTCATGTCCTCTAGTTTCATCCATGTTGTCACAAATGGCAGGCTTTCCTTCTTTCTTAAGGCTGAATAATACTCAGTTATGTGTATATATGTGTGTGTGTGTATATATATATATATATATATATATATATATTTTTTTTTTTTTTTTATCCACTGATCTGTTGATCGATACTTAGGTTGAGTCCATATTTTGACTATTGTCAATAGTGCAGTAATGAACATGAAAATACATTTGTCTCTTTGACATACTGATTTCAATTGCAGTAGTGGGATTGCCAGATTATATGGTAGTTCTATTTTTAATCATTTTAGGAATCTCCAAACTACTTCATAATGTGTGTACTAATTTGCATTGCCATGAACAGTATGCAAGGATTCTATCTTTTCCACATTCTCCTAACACTTGCATTCTTTCATCTTTTTGATAATAGCCATTCTAACAACTGTGAAGTGATATCTCATGGTGATTTTAATTTGAATTTAGTTGGGGCATTTTAATGTTTTAAAAGCCTATCAGGTGATTCTGATGTGTTGTTAGGTTTGAGTACCATTGGTTTAGGGGTGTTTGATTCTTCCTGGTTATGAAGAACAGAGTCATGTTCAAGTTATCTTAAGTAGTAGGTTCAATGGAAGGATACATAAATTAGGAAACTGTCTCACCAACTAAACAAACCTCAAGAAGAACCATTCAGGATGCCATAGCAACTCTGACAGTCCACCATTCTTATGACTTAAATGCTGTGTCTCTGCTAACTCTATGTGATTCACATTTAGACTTTCCTAAAAAAAGGATCTCGTTGGACTGGCTAGTCACTAACTACTACAAAGTTCCTCTCTTGGGCAAAAATTACACATCAGGCTCCTTTCATAGGACAGCCTCTAGTTGGCTGCTTTTGACTCAGGTACCAATCCCTGGTCCAGTCTGTTTTGATCGGTGCATCAATCATGTAGTTCAAAGCATAACAATCTATGTTAAGAATGACAGTAAGGAGCAGTATAATTATCAATGCTCTGTGGCTTCTTAGAAGGGTTAAGGCAATGGATTGATATGTTTGGGGTTCATTATCTGTCTGGTATAGTTTATTTTTGAATACTTTCCAAAAGTAAGTAATAAAGTTATTGAAATTATGGTAGCATTTTTTTTTAGAAAAAATTCTAAAAAGCTAATTTACTAAGGTCTTGTAGTTTAAATTAGGAGATAAGTTTCTCAAGGATAAAAACACACTTTAAGATGATCAGTGTAAGTGGCCATCTGTGGTAGATGATAAAACTTGCTTAAACGTTCATAGGCAGAGTAGAGTGTAACACATTTCTGCAATCTCTTATGAATGAGATCATCTGTTATATAGGCTTGATGAATATTAGTACTGTAGGCCAAAGCATGAGCTACATACTTAGTGTCTGTATGTGAATTTGACCTGTTTTGGGATCATTTCTCTGTCATTTTGAAGCTCAACAGGAGCTTTTCATAACACTAGGTTAACTGCTATTGCCATATCCCCTCCTAAACTGGACTGTATATAGAGTTCACCTCATTTATTCATGTTTCCAAATTCATATTTGATATCTCTAGGTGCATTGAATTCATCATATTCCAACTTTATTTATCTTTACCGTTCTTTCCCCCCTGCATTCCTTATTTCAGTTAAGAACATCAGTATCTGATCTTGGAATCATATTAAACTGTTTCCCACCTGCACACTGTTAACAAGTCTTGTGGCTTCTACCTTATACTTTCATACATTCATTAAAATATTTTGAGTATTATGTACAAGAGATGCTGGTAGACATTGGGGAGGTACACAGATCAAGATATGAACAGGAGGTATATAGAAAACACTAAAACTAACAAACACGTGAAGAGATGCTGAAAATAATTATCAGGTAACTACATATTGAAACAATGAGACAGTACCTTTTTAAGTTAGGAAAAAGTAGAATTTTGAATAAGTCCAAATGTTGTGAAAATATGGAAATATAAGACTCTCCATAATGGTGGGAGTGTTGACTGGTGCACCATTATGGAAAGCAATCTGATATTATTTAATCAAAGTATATAAACTTTTCATATGGCCCAGCAATTCTGTTCCTGAGTATATAGTATAAAGATATACACGTTCATAAGGGCTCTCACACAAGATATTTATTGCAGTGTTATTTATCGTAGTGGGGATTTGGAGCCAATCTAGGTGTCCATCACTGAAAGTGGATAGGTGAAGTTTGGTGGGTATACATCATGGAGCACTGTACATTAACTGGAAGTAATGGTTTAGATTTATTACATATAGAAACTCAGATGGATTTAAAAACATGTTTTGTGAAAAAAACTAAGAAAGAAAATGATAAATATAGCTTAACACCATTTATTTTGTGAAAAATTAAGAAACAAAATGAGATGTGTAACAAAATTTAAAATGCATATATTTTGTAAAAACTCAAAATGATGTTCATAAAGCACATTAAAATAGCTACCTATGGTGAGAGAATAAGAATGTAAATTGCTGATTAAAGGAAATAAGTGAATCAATCAGTTTTAAAAAGAAGGAACAAAAAATTGAAGATGAAAATGTTGTTCTCAAGGAATGGACTCTAGTGGCAGAAACTGACTAAAAGTTATCTAAAAGTTACTGTGAGAAAAAGGAGAGAGTAGTTTGCCTATAGATCATAAAGTTTCCTTGTGATATTTGTTTGTTCATTTTAATTTATTCATTTCATTTTTCAACACATATTTATTTAGTGTCTACCATGGGTTAGGAACTGCTAGTTGCCAGGTTGTGATAGATTGTATTTTTGCTTTCAAATATTTGCTTCCTCTTCTGTAAGAGAATTATACACCCCTTTCTAGATTTCTGCAAGAATGACGTATCCCAAGTAGAGGTTGCTCTTTCATTCTGGGTTCTGGAAGACATGTGAAACAGGAAAAGAGCTACCAATAACCCGCTGCCAATGTGTTATAGGAGGTTGAAGCAAACTTTGTTGTTGAAATTTTGGAGGTCATTTGTAACTACAGTAAAGCTGACTAATACAGAAGAATACTAAATATACTACAATGAACAAAAAATACTCTTGAGGGGCCCACTGCTTATCTAAGAGCAAGAGAGACATGTAAACATAATTAGTACCCTGTGACAAATGCATAATGGTAAGCAAGAGAAGTTGTGGGAACCTGGGGAAGTTTAGGAGCACCTTATAGTTGACATTTGAGCTGGATTTTGCAATACGAGTGTATATTTATTCTGAGGCCTACTGCTCCACAGATCTACCCACACAGTCTATCATACGTAGGGGGCAGTGATTCTATATTTTCAGGGAACTAAATTGAACTTTACAAATAAACAGATGGCAGATTTCAAAATAATGGTATACAAACATAAAACTGCTGTTGGCAAGAAAAAATAGATACATGATTTTATAATTTGTTTTTAGCATATTTTGATACGGATAAAATATTAAAGCAAAGTATCTGCTCTGCTTTAATCTGATTGAAACACAAATCTGTGTTTATCATGAAAGAGCCAATAGATGTTAAACAGACGTAATTTTGTAAGCAGAGAAAATACCTCATTCATTCATCTGGACTAATGAAAGGCAAGAAACAGTATAATAATTTTTTAATACTTTATTTTAAAGATATGGGGTACAAGCCAGGATTAGGTATATAAGTAATCAATGTGCCGGTGATGTTTTGGACCTCCAACTGGTCCTCACTTCCCCTGATTTAGGATCAGGTACCCTTTATGTTATGTGCCTACCCCATTCCCCCCTCCTGTTGCAGTGTCCCATAAATGCCCATCTCTTCC